TCCTGGGTCTGCCCCAATTTATGTCATTGTCACTTTGATGTTCTACAGCAACTTATATCTAATTCTTAGATGGGGCGACGTTACCTTACCTCAACCATTCGTTTTGTTCAATAGTCGTCATTATCAATGTGATATGACGTTTCATGTTATTAAAACCATTCTTTCTGTAACCTCGTCAGCAAGTAACCTTAACTTCATCTAGTAACATCTTGGATTCTATCATTTCCAAGGAGAAATTTACGAGTCCAAGTGAAAAGAACTGTGAGCTGTGGTTGTTTATGGCTGAAACCTAGATATGTATATATCTATGAAAATGGACATGCATGAAATGATTGATAACTCAATGTTTATGCATGCGTATGGGCCACAACCACAAGACAGCAGTGACCAGTGAAGTTGGCATCACCGTTAGAGAACTTGGCGTGTCTCATTTCTGTGGCAGTATCAATAATGCAGTTCCTCAACTTTTGCTTTCAAGTAGACTGTGACTGGTAGGTTTTTTTCAAGATCAACAAGCATCTTCTAGTTGGTGTTGAAGGTTAGATGGAGAAGGTTAGGTTAGTTTATTTGATGTGAAATTACAATACAATATGACAAAACTCATAAAAGCTGAACATGTCAAGAACAGTAGAGAAAAAAAAGGCATCTAATTAGAATTGAAAACAAACTTTTCTTCAATTTTCTGTGCTGAAAATATGCCCAAAGTATTGGACTGCAGAGCACCTAGCATCTTTAAATTATGATTTGAAATATTGTGTTTATTGTCATCATACCAATGATTTCTCTTTTCGGATTTTCCACTACCTTATCTTAGTGGTATCTTTCCATCATATTTCTATTATTGCCAAAAAAGTTATAAGTAAAATAACTGTAAAATGTTGGTATACGGGTTATCCAGACTTCAAACATTGGAGCTTCTTAATCTTCAAAGTCACGGAACATTATAAACCCAATGAATCAAAGTAATTAATAAATGTGATAGGTATCACCTTATGATCGAACAAAGACCATTAAGTATAAGTAACCTAATGCCGGAGGATTGTCATCCGGCTACAAGGGAGAGATTTGATAAGTACTTTTTATTTTGATAGTTTAATTAAATACTATAAAAAACTTTCTTTGATTGATATTTTATTAACAATATTATACATCTTTCACTTAATTGTCAACTCAATAGCTTTAAATCTTTCAATTTGTAATTAAATTAAACAAGGATTAGAGACGTGTTTAAATTTGGCTTGATTATTAGAACAAGACAAATATAATCAAGATTTTTTTACTAATTAAATCAAATTATGATTAAAAATTTTATTATCATATATTAAATTGGGTGAAAGTGAGTTTCATTCAGTCATTTTCACTTGGTGGGAAGGTAGATATATATTTGTCACATTTATGAAGGCTGAATAACATTTTCATCTCCAAGCTATTGCAAAAGCACATTTTTCTCCCTCGGTTTTGAAACACCCATATAACCCCATTTTTTCAATTCAAGCGTTGAAACTTAACGATGAAAGGTGATTTTGTCAGTCATAATGTTTGATTAGGTTTTCTATCTACAGTGTTATATATGTGAGTAAATTGACAAGATTATTCTTTCACAATTAAGTTTTAATACTTGAATTAAAAAAATGGTAGTAACATGGGGTGTTTCCGACACAAAATGAGGTGGTATCATTTCACGATAGATAGGGGTCAATGTATTTGGCCCATTTTTTAATTAAGTTGACAAACATTCCCTTAAACAAATGGAATAATTTATGGTTAAATGAATAGAGAAAGCTTTTTCTTGTCAATGAATATTATTTAATTTTTTATATTAAAAAGGAGAAAAACTATAAATTGAAAACAATTTCTTGGTGTTTTGTGGCCGTTCTGTCTTTTTTTTACTACATGAATAACAACTACAATTTGTTTGATTTGTCCCTTCCATTAGAGATTAGGACCTTTGAAGAAAGAAGAAGATGTTTCTTTTGTCCCCTCCCATCGGAAATTTTTGCAAATATAATAGATGTAATGATTAAATACAAAACCGAAAATATGATAAGATGTGATGTATAGTTAGAGGATGTTGCTTATAGTATGAATAAAATACTTACTTAAGGCTATTCGTTTTCATTCGAGATACTAAATAAGAAGACGAAAAACTCATACTAGAGTTCATCTTCCGGATGATGGAATGTGATGGTGAATTAGGTACAATAAGTTACTCAATGAGAGTGATGTGGGCTTATAATTGTTACCAAAGCCCACTGGCGTCATGGGCTCAACAGCACAACCCATCAACCTTTTAGATCCAAACCGGACTCCCGACCCAACCCCACTTTACTTTTAAGACTTCAAAGGGTTTAAAAGATAAGGAAGGACTGCATAGGCTTTCTAGGACGAGGCTTGCTAAGCTTTATGGTTCCAATTAAAGATAATTCCACCAAATTTAATGTCCATTCCCCAGCCCAGCTCAACCTCCGGCTTAGAGCGAAAATTCAGATAAATTACCACAAAAAAAAAAAAAAAAAAAAAAAAAAAGGGAAGTAGGGAAGAAGAAAGTGAACACAGTATTTATCGTGGTTCGGCCACAAACTCGGCCTACGTCCACGCCTCAAGCGGTAAGCTTTGAGGATTCCACTATGAAATTTGACCTTATGGGGTCTTGAAATACATTTACACTTGTATACACTTTAAACTTTCAATTCCTTCAAAATAAACATGCTTACGGTTTACATCAATAACCTTACATTATATTAAATAGGAACAGAATATGCGCAAAAATATAAAAAAAAAAAAAAAAACAACTTTCTTACCCTTGAAAGATCGGCAAATCAAGCCATAAGAATGATTTCACAAGTTTAATGCACTGGAATGAGAATGGAATTTGAATTGATGATTCCTTCACAAATAAAACAAATTCCATTTTTCTAACATGCTTTTGAAAACTTCAATTTTCCCTTTCCTCAAATCTAAAAACATTTTCAAAATCATTGATGCATTAAACTTAGTGCACTAGCCATAGATTTAGCCTATTTCACAGTTAAAAACAATGACAATTTTCTGGCAGTCTTCACATCAGGAAGCTTGCTTTCTTCCAATACACTTGAACATCTCGGGTCCAATTAACTTTTGGCGACGACATCAAGCCTAACAAGAAGGAAAAAGAAAAAAAAACATATTGTTCTCTTAAATGATCAAGTTATTATCATCAAATCCAGGTTAATTTACTGAGGCCAACACCTTTTTTCGCGAAAAATAATAATAATAATAAAACCATCAATCATGTATAGAATAATGAACTACCAAGCAAACCTCAAACCAGGAAGTAACCACTAGTTCATAGAATGCATTTTCCTTCTGTTTCAAAATTGAAATTATTTGCCAAGGCCTTAAACAACAGCTTCTTCACTCTGTTACAGAACAAATTTGGAGAGAACAGAGGAGTTGACTAGCTAAACTGCATTAGCGACAAAATGATAAGATGAATTCAGTGACACAAACATATATAATTAATGTACTTCGGAAATGCTATAGAATCTAATAAACGAGTTCCAATATATTGGATCTCAGCTATCGATAAAATTTTCCATAAATCATTTTTCTTACCCTCTAGCATTCTCTCCTATTCTGATCATACTCATCCATGAGCCTGGAATCCAAACTTTTGTACCTCGTAGCATCTGCTGTACTGTACACCTAAATATTTTTTAACCAAAGTTCAGAATAACAAACTCAAACGGAGTCATAAACATTCACTATACGCATATGTAATAAATTAGGAAAACAAGAGCAATATTTAATATGAATATTTCAGCATTCCTTCTGTCCTGTTCCACACTAATCCCTAGTAATATGCTCTATATTTTGAAATTATAACATGAAAAGTCCTGTGTTTTTTAATTAAGCAATCAAGAATATGAAGAAGAGTGTAATGATTACTATTTGAGTCCTCTGCTTCATTCTTCTCGCGCCATTCTTTTGAAAGAGAGTGTAATAGTTGACTTTATAACAGCACATTTTTCCTCCTATAGTTTGTTGCATATCTACCGTCCCACCACTCTTCCATATAGCAAAGCAAATTCCAGCTGAGACTCGAAAATATATATATTTTTGGTTGGAATCCATGATGGGAAGGAAACTTAAATGGTAAAGAACAATGAAAAGAGAGAAACTGTAATATATATTAAGTAGTAACAGAACATGACTAACCAATTTGATCTTTGTGGCATAAGATATACCGTTTGGGTCCTCTCCTTTGCTCTTCTTACTCCATTCTCCAGCCAATTCACAGAACTCAAGGAGAATCTAAACACATCCAAAAAGCTCACCAGCATAACTTCCCCACATAAGGCTTCAAATGCACAAGAGGAAGCACCTGTTTTCCTTGATTCTGATCATTCACAGTGACGGCTAGCACACAGATTATGCCAACAAGCAGCTATTTGACAAAATTGTAAAGCCAAAATCTTATTTAAAAAAGAAAAAAATCTTCAGTAGCCAAAGAGGGCATATTAATATTATATTTCCAAATATGCATGGTAGCAGTTGCTTTGACTGAAATGAGTAATTTATGCAACTAGCAAGCACACATAATAAGAACTGGGTGATGAAACAAACGCTACCATTTGAAATTAAATTTCACTGTGTTTACTATTAAGTTGAATAATATTCTTACAATAATATCTGAGCAAATTAATGTTTGTACAATGGTTGACTATTTAATCTATATATCATATATACTTGAATTGTAGAAGTGTACAGTGGCAAATGTTATATGAAAGCGGATTTGGCCAAAAATCAAAAATAAAAAATTTCTAGCACAAGTACGAAGGACATTCTATCTAATCTTAGAGTAGTAATTTGAAGAAATTTTTTCATATTTCTACCCATTAAACATGCATAACTATAAAAATGCTTTAACTAATCATATATAACAACTAAAAATGGGAGGAGAAGAAATTACCTGTAGGTCAATGCCAATAGCAGAAGCGGCCATCGTCTTGCACATATTCCTATTCAATCTTGAAAGTAGTCATACGAGAGATTTTGGGCCAGTCATCTCCTTTGTTCTTTTTGAAACGTTGTCTTAGAACACGGCAGTTATATATGTTCAATGCCTCCAGTGTTTTAAGTTGAAAAAGGCGTTCCGGCAGTAGCTTTAATTTGTCGCATAATTTAATTGTTAACGAGCGAAGACATGGCAAGATAACTCCATCTTCCTTTGGAATAACCCAATTTTTCCATTCTGTCATATCCTCAAACTCAAGAGTTTGTAATTTGGGGAAGACAGTGCCAATGCTAGTGCCAGCACTTTTTATTCCCAAAAAGTCATGACCAACATTTCCCACACTCTCCATATATTTTATAAAGAGTGATTCAAGTGATGGTAGTTTTCCTAAAGGAGGCAAACACTCACAATCCATGCAACCACCAAGAGATAGAACCTTTAATTTGGAGAATGTATTGGTAGTTTCACACGAAAATATCCCTAATTTATTAACAGAGCAATGATTGATAGTCAATTTCTCCAATGTTGGATTATACGGAAGGTCGTCAGGCAATTTCTTCAATTTTGGGCATGAAACAAGTTCCAACGAACAAAGGACTGGCATAATTATAACTTTATTTAAACTCTTCTCAATAATCTCATATATCCAATCTTCCCATTCTTCCATGTGCTTAATGGTGAGATATTTCAGTTTGGGAAAGATAACCATTGATGTGTTATTACTTTGCACTCCTAAATTCAACTCTTCCCTGTCTTCCATATACTTAATGGTGAGACTTTTTAAGCCGTTATTGTATCTAATGTTGAGTGACTCAAGGGATGGTAATTTTCCCAAAGGATCAGGAAATCGCTCCAGGTTCATGCAACTATGGAGAGTTAACATTTTCAGTTTGGCCAATGACATCAACCAGGGGGGGAACATAGATTTGCAATCAAACTCATCTATCCTTAATTTCTCTAAATTCAAAGGTGGTTGTAAGGCATCAAGAACTATGTTGTCATGCTCACTCTTCCTCTCTCCTATAGATTCCAGCTTATAGAATGACAAACTCAAATCAGTAAGGTTTTTCTTAACATTGAGTTTTGCTTTCTCAGCTTCTTCGGCACTAACCACATTTCCCAACCTCCTTAAAACAAGAGAACCTTTAAGGTGGACCATGTTTCCCAAACATTCAAGAGTATCATGACCTCTACCACCAGTACTTCTAACGAATTCACTTAATTCTCTAAGACAAGTCAACCTCTCCATTCCTTTTGGCATGTAACTTAATGAATAAGTCTTAACATTTTTCAAATACCTCAAGTTGATTAACCGCCCTATCTTTTTTGGAAGTTTTTGTAGACTCAAACATTTAGTAAGATCTAAGGTTTGCAAATTATACAATTCACACAACTCATCAGGCAATTCCTTTAAATATCTATTTTCAGATAATTTAAGATATCTTAAGTGTATCAATTTCCTGATTTCTCTAGGAAGAACTTGACTTGAACAATAACTCAAATCTAATGACCTTAGATAAGTCAACTGGCCAAACAATTTTGACACTTTAAACTCAAATTCACTATCAACTATAAGGCTATGCAATTTTTTCTTACTATAGCTAGAGTTAGGAATTGAGTTCCCTAATATCATCAAATGTTGAGCCTTTTTATGAACAAACCTCGAGCGGTATTTTACAGAATGCTCAGCGTCTACAATAAAACATTCATTATTAGTAAGCGATCGAGCAAAATCATGCACTATATTGTGCATCTTATAACGTGTTATGCTACCATCACTCTCACTTCTTTCAATATCTTCTAAGAAAGAGTGCACCCTTAAGTTTTCAAAATACTTTTCACCAATTAGCTCCATATCATCCATTCCTTCTACTTTAAGATAATCTTGAGCCATCCATAACTTGATTAACTCACTTTTGTTTATCTCATAGTTTTTTGGGAAGATTGCACAATATAAGAAACATTTTTTCAATTTAGATGGCAAATCATAATAGCTCAACAATAGATAAGGGAAAACTCCNTAAGAAAGAGTGCACCCTTAAGTTTTCAAAATACTTTTCACCAATTAGCTCCATATCATCCATTCCTTCTACTTTAAGATAATCTTGAGCCATCCATAACTTCATTAACTCACTTTTGTTTATCTCATAGTTTTTTGGGAGGATAGCACAATATAATAAACATTTTTTCAATTTAGACGGCAAATCATAATAGCTCAACAATAGATAAGGGAAAACCCCCTTTTCTGTGTCTTCTAGTTCCCATACTTCACTATCTAAGACACTGTTCCACTGTTCAATTTCTGTTTTCATACTTAAGAGATTTCCTAACATCTTTACAGCTAGAGGCAAGCGATTACACTTTTTCACAATATTTCCACCAATTTTTACAAATCCTTCACACTTTTTATCTGTTTCCTCCAAGAATGGAACTTGATCACTAAACAACGACCAACATTCTTCATCTGACAATTTCTCAAGTGTGATCATTTCATTGCTTCCAATCTCTTTTGCATGTTTTTTTTTACGTAAGGTCACCAAAACTCTACTTTTTGTTGAACCCAACTTAAGAGATTCCATTAATTTTATCCAATTTTCTTGGACCTCTTCAATCCACACATCATCTAGGACGAGCAAAAATATCTTTCCCTTAATATATTGACCTATGTTTTGCAAGACAGTTTCTAATTCAACTAAATTTTTTTTCTTATTTGTAAGAGATTCAAGGATTGCTTTCGCAATCCTAGATACACTGAAAGGACGAGACACACACACCCATATTCTTATTTCAAAATGAGTTTTTATCTTATTATCATTAAAAGTAAATTGAGCAAGTGTTGTCTTCCCAATTCCTTCCATCCCTACAATGGAAATGATAGAGGGGGCTATCTCTTGCTGACTCTTACTCACCAAGAATTTTACTAAATCATTTTTCTCCTGATCTCTTCCATGAAGCTTTGATTCAACATTGGTAGTTATTGGTTGTTTTAGAGTTTCAGTACCCTCAGGCAAGCTGCTAAACTTAAATCTACCTTTATCCTTGGCAACAACAGCTAGTTTTTTATTTAGCTTTTTAATCTCAGCAGCAACATCAAAATGCAGAGCAAATTGCCTAACACAAGATAGATAGTAAGGCTTAAGGGAACATACCTTTCTCAAAGGCTTGGAAGCATTTTCAACTTCCTTAAGTTGCAATTTGCTGATCATCGTGTTCCATTCATCCAATACGTTGTTTACTTCTGAGGATGAGTTTTTGAGCTTTTGCAACCAATCTCTCACAGGTTCCACTTCCACTTGTTTCTGCTCCGCATCTTTAACCACAGCTTGAACGGCCAGCAAATTGTCAGTGAGCTTTTCAACTTCTTTGTCAACACCAACATTCAGTGTTGTTCCCTTTTCTGTCTGTTGACAGAGGATTGAAAACAGTTGTTCCAAGGTTGCTGAAACGAGAGCCTCAGCCATCTTTGAAGGTGAAAATGGATTCAAGAAATATAATTGAGAAGAAGAAATATTTTGTGGGCTTATTTTGTGCAATGCTACTCTTTCTATTCAGTATTTATAGCCCAGAAAAAAGACAAAGGAATCCTTCACCTGACAGCTTAAAGTGACATATTGCTTTGATGCTAGTTAAGGTATGTTTAACTTAATTTACTCCAAGCTTAAGCAATGCCCATATTCTTTTCTTTGCTTCCCACTAAAGTATCATTTGATGCTAGCTACTTAACGTGTAGAGTGTTTGTAGTTTTTGCTTTAACCCTTTTCTCGAAAGATTTGAAAGATAAAAATTAAAAAAAAAAAAAAAAGTAAAAGAAAATTCAATGAATAAACTTACCCATATAAAGACCTCATCAGTTAATCCAATTTACCAATAAAAAGAGAAAAACCCGGATGTTAAAAGACCATAAAAGCTTGTATGTATAACAAAAAAAAAAAAAACAAAAAAAAAAAGATTAAAAATGGAGGTAAGTGAGGTTTTACCGAACAGATGGTGGGTTTACTAGAGTTTATCTGGAAACCAAATCCCGTTACATCCTCCAGTAGCTTTAATGTTAACTTACGCGTCTTCACTTTCTCATAAATGTCATTAAGACTCTTGGAGGTAATTATCATCCCAACAAAAAATCCTGTAAATATTTTAAATGGTAGTTAACTTTTTCATAATTGAAGTTCAGTGTAATTAACCATCAAATCAAAGTTCGTAAAGTGATTTTTTTATTTTTATTTTTTTGTGTTTGTTAGTTTTCAAAAAAAGAAAAAAAAAAAAAAAAAAAAAAAAACCCTTAAATAACATAATACCTTTAATTTTAGCTGTTGGCTTCTATTTGGAAGCTGTTTTCGTTGACATACTTGGGGTTTGAGAACATGATATTATATGTGCTTCGGTTTAGATGGTAACACACTTGAAGGGGTGGGCGGGTTCGGGTACCCACCCAAAATCAAAGGAACCAGAAACGAAACAAGAACCGATTTTGTCGGTTTCAGTTTCTTTGATTTGGAATCAAAATCGGAACCGTCGGTTCTAATTCCAAAAACTTGGAAACGGAACCTATGTTACAGGTTTTGATTCTGTTTCGGGTACTCTAAAAAATATCAATTACCCTCATATTTTCTAAAAAATGACAAATAAACCGTTATAAAATATAATTACACCCTAAAAATTAAGTGCAAAACATTAAATAATATTGTTTATATTTATTTATGTTTGATGTTACTTATAAGTATTTAATTGTTTGTTTTCACCGATAATAAATATTTAAAAGCTATTATTTAACATAAATGTCTTATGTATATAATCTTAATTAAGCAATAAGTGAAACTTAATATTAATAAGAAATTTGAAAAACTGATCTTTTAATGAAAATTAATAAGATTTTTGATATGAAGATAAAAAAACCAAAATTTTTTATATTTATATGATATGCAAAACTATAAAAAACCCCATATTCTTTAATATTATATCAATTAGTCTCGATTCCCAGAACCGGAATCGGAACCACACAGTATCGGTTCCAATTTTTGGAATCGGAATCTACCTATTACGTCGATTCCGGGTAGGAACCTAACCGACACCGGGTACTCGTTGGTTCTGATTCTACCCTAAAATTTTGCCCACCCTAGCCAAAATACACTGAAACCGCCAATGTAAAGAGACGAGAACAGTAATACACAGATAAGAGAAAATCAAGAATAACTTGATAGGAATCCCCCAATAACTCAAACAATTTGGGTTGGGCCATGGGTCTTTCATGGATTCGGTAGAACGTGCTTACCATTTTCCCTTCTAATGTGGGATCCTAACATTCCACCATGCATCGATCTCTTTACCCTTTGGGTGACTACACAGATCCCTTTTCTCAGGGTAATAGCCCGGGCCCAAGGTCAGCCTGTCACGCGTGTATTGTCACGTCGACGCAGGATCATGTTTGATACCATTTGATAGGAAATCACTCCAATAACTCAACAATTGGGCTAAGCATGAGTTTTTATGGGCTTGAGTATAACTCTCCTTAGAAAACCGGTTTTCTAAGAGAGGGTGCCCAAGCCTTTTATAAGCCACATGCCACCATTTTCCTTCCCATGTGGATCCTAACAGAATTCCTATGTGTTTCTTGCAATTTTGGGACTTTAAAAAACCATAATATCCTTCTTATTCCTCTTGTGCAATCTATCTTTTGTTTTTTCACTGTTCAATAGGGGTTTTTATAAGTGTGATTCAATTTTTTTTTTCTTTACTGGGAAGAATTTGCTTAAAATTGGAAAAGGATTTGTGACCAAACAGATACGACCAGTTTCGACAAAGTCCCACTTGGTAATACGAGTGACATTTGTTTTGTACGTATACATATCAAAAGGATAATGTATGATTAATTGGATAACTTTAAAGGTCTACAAGACACATGAAATGATTTTTTTTAAAGAAACCTCGGCGGCACGAGGGAAAATTTTATTAATAGTTAAAAAAACAAATGACATAGATAGGGGGGGGCGTAATGAGCCTTACCCTCAAAAAGCTATATATACAAGAATAAAGAGAATGCAAATGCAAAGCATGAAGTACAAAATTACAAGTAAACTTCAACTAAACCTATATAGAAATACATGCCAAACATGATGGTGGAGTTCCTTGGAAATAGATGAAGGGGGATTATCCCACCATTGCAAGCTCGAAAATGAAAAATCCAATCGCCATAACATTTCCTTCTTGTAAAATCTGGGAACAATGAACTTGCATACTCTTCATTAGAGAACAATAATGATACCAACTATTATGTAAAGACCAAGGTGTCTGAAAAATCGCAGTAAGATTCATTCAAAAGCATAATAATGATAACCAACAATATCACTATCATTCAATTATATATTTGATTGAATGATCTTACCTCCTCTAGACAGTTAAGTGACTTCTTCCTTCTGGTTGAATAAGAATATTGATAATCCTTTCCCTTGTAAACAACAAAACTGATCAGTTCAAAGACTACAATATTAAACCAAATAATACAAATCTTCTGTGTTTTGTGATTTGTTTCAAATGTAACCTTGATATGTAAGGTGCTCTTTGATTACACAAATTACAAGAGCTTTACCACATCTGGTGCCTCTGGTGATAAAGATGACTCTTCAGAAGAGATACCACATGTATATGACTGTTTTTGTTGATATAATCATTTGATGGAAGGAAGTTGACTCCTCTGGCTATAAGATACCACAAGAAAAAACACATTTAAATAAGATGACGATATTTATGATGGTAGAATCATAACATGTTGTATGAAGCAATACTCCATTTGCTTAAGTTACAAACCACGATGAGTTAAGCAACTCTCTTGTTCTGTTCTGCAGTTATCCATCAAACATCAGAAACAGGATGAATGATTTTCTACTTTAAAATTACAAAATGATAAATGTATTTTTTACAAACTCTCCTTGTTGAATTACAAATAACAACTATAATGAGGGGTGAAAGATTAAAGAAAGGAAAAAAACTAGGTTATATGAGAATGCAATGAAAGTATCTTTGCACATATAAAGATAACAATGAAAACTGGAAATGTTTGCTTTCTCTTTCTACGAATTGCCACTTGCCTCCACTGATTCTCGTCTCAGATGCTTTACCATTATGCTAGCATATTGTAAGTTATCTTGCGAAAAGCATTAACAAAGGCAACAAATTAAAGACACAATTGTAAGTTAGAGATTTACTTAAAGGCACAGTCAATCTGAGTTAGAGATCATCATGCAATTGCAATGCAGCCAGATCTCATTGATGATACTGACCTGAAATTCAAGGCTAATATGCTTGGAAAACACCTGATTGCTTGTATCCAATGCACGCGAGGATTGATGCCTACAAACACTTCGATAAATGTCTGCATTCAAATCGTATTATAGAGCTTGCAACATTAAGAAAACGAGAAAATCTTTTGCAATACTTTAAAGCAATAGCTAAAGAAAAGAAAAACAACTCACTAGAAACTTCCCCATAAAGCCATCTGCAATTCTGCCGAAACTCTCCATTTCACATGAGAGCAAGCACCTATTTCCCCTGAATTACAAACCCTCTTTTCTCCTCACAATCTCCATTCACCAAATCTCAGCTGTCCTCAGCACACGTTTAATAACAATATCTATATGATCCCTTGAGAACCACCCTTGGGTCAGCGAAAACAACCGGTTCATTATCAAGCATTTCTAGCTAAGCTGTCAAAATAAATCTTCATCAATCAAAAGGAACCACACACGGTTCCACTTATGATTTAAAGATGTTAAATACATTTCTATTTTTATACCTCAACACCATACTATAATTACCAAAGAAAACCGTTGCATGTTTTTTTGAACTTCAACAACTAATGAAACAACTAAAAAGAAGAGAAGAAATTACCAGTAGCTGATGAAAATGACTGCTGCCCAGGATATTGCACATGTTCATTACCAATTATGATGTGAGGAATGTGAGAGATTTTGGGCCAATCTCTTTCTTTCTCTTTCTCCTTCTTGTAATGTTCTTCAAGAATAGAGCACCAACTGATGTCCAATTTCTGTAGTGTTGTCGGTTTAGAAAGGATGTGATCTGGCAAGGCTTTTAATTTGTTGCAATCACTAATTTTCAAGGTATGAAGATATGGCATGATACTAATTATATTATCTTCCTTGGTGATATCCCACTCTTCCCATTGTTTCATACGACAGAATTCAAGAGACTTCAACTTGGGGAAGACAGCAGCATTTGTGCCACCGTTTTCTATTCCCAGAAATTCATTACCGACTTTTTTCACACCCTTCATATCCAATAACCTAAGTGATTCAAGGGAGGCTAATTTTCCCAAAGGAGGTAAATGCTCAAACCCTTTCATGTAATTGCAAAGAGTTAAGTTGGTGACATTGGGGAACACAATGTTTTTCGGACGTGAAAATATATTGTGTTCCCTACATGAAAATAAGCAATTCCTAATATCCAATTGCTTGAGCGTTGTTGACTGAAGAATGTAGTCTGGTATTGCCGTTAATTTCTCACAGTATCGAATGGACAATGAAGTAAGACATGTCATGTTTCTATCCCCACTCCTTGTAACCCCAGAATTCCACTCTTCCCATTTTTCCATTTTCCAAATCATAAGAGAATCTAGTTTGGAAAAGGCAATAGATGATGATGATGGTGATGATAGAGAGTCATTCTCTATTCTCAAAAATTCTTTACTTACTGTTTTCACATTACTCATTTGACTTATCTTGAGTGATGCAAGGGATGGTAATTCACCCAGAGTAGGTAATTTCTCACAGTTTATGCAAGTAGAGAATGTTAACGCTCTCAACATGGTTAATGAGACCATCCACGGGGGGGATATAGTTTTGCCTTTGTAGTTATCTATCTTTAATTTCTCTAGATTTTGGGGTGGTTGTAAGGCTTCAAGACCTAATTCATGACGCTCATTTGACCTGGTTTGATTGAATTTTAAACTCAAATCGATGAGGTTTTTCTTATTGTGGAATTCTGCTAATTTGACTTCACTAGCATCTCTCACATTTCTCACATTTCCCAACCCTTCTAACTGAAAAGATCCTTTAGGGTGGTTCAACTTTTTTAAAAATTCAAGACTGGTACATGCTCTCTTACTGTGACCTCCATCACTAATAACAAACTTACTCAGTGTACGAAGATTACTTAATCTCTCAATTCCTTTTGGCATGTAACTCAATGATTTATTATCATAATTTATTAAGTGCCTCAAGTTGATTAACTTTCCTATCCCCTGTGGTAGTTTTTCAAGTCTAATGCAACCATAAAGATTCAAGGTCTGCAAATTATACAAATCACACACCATCTCAGGCAACTGTCTTAATTTTTTATTTTGAGATAAGTTAAGATATCTCAAATGTATTAACTTTTTTATTCCTCCTGGAAGTTTTGTAATTGAACAGTCACTCAAATCTAATGTCCTCAGACAAGTCAATTGATCAAATAATTTGATCAGATCTACTTCAAACACAACATCAAATGTACGGTTAACAGCAAGAAGAAGGCTACGCAATTTTTTCTCACTGCAAATAGCAATAGGAATTGAGTCTCCTAATATCATTAAATGATGAGTTCTTTTGTAAGAAAACTCTAATTGAGACTCTTCATGATCATCAACATTCATGGTAAAACATTCATTTTGCGTTAGAAATTGAGCAAAGTTGTGCACAATATCATGCATCATGTAACTTACTGTGCTACCATCATGTCCACTTCTTTCAGGATCTTGAAAAAAAGAGTGCCTCACTAAGTTTTGAAAATACCCTTCACCAGTTAACTCTCCATCTACCTTAATGTAACCTTGGGCTATCCACAACTTAATTAACTTGTCTTTCTCTATCTTATAATCCTTGGGGAAAATGGCACAATATGAGAAACATTTTCTCAATTCAGCAGGCAAATCATAATAACTCAACATTAAAGCTGGAAAAAATCTTTTTTCTATCTCTTCTAATTTCCAAAGCTCACTATCTAAAACACTTTGCCATTGTTTAGCTTGTGCTTTCAAACTCAATAAACCCCCTAATATCTTTATAGCAAGAGGCAAGCCTTTGCACTTACTTACAATATCTCTACCAATGTCTTCTAAATTTTTAGGCACTTCACTAGTCCTTCCACTAAACGCAATTTGACTAAATAATGACCAAGATTCTTGGTAAGATAACTTTTCTAAACGAAACCTTTGGGTGGTTCCTATCATTTCTGCCGTACTCTCTTCACGTGTGGTCAAGACAATTCTACTTCCTTGACAACCACAACTAAGAGAGTACTTTAAGTTTTTCCAATTGATGGAATTTTTTGTGCAGACATTATCTAGGACAAGAAGAAACTTCTTTCCCTCTAAAGATTGATGTATCTGTTTTAACAAAGTGTCTAATCTCCCTAGACTTAGCTTAGCATGCGTACTTTTCAGAGATTCAAGAATTGCTTTGGCAATCTTAATCTCATTAACACAATCAGACGCAGACACCCAAATTTTAACATCAAAATGGGTATTCATCTCTTTCTCATTAAAAGCAAGTCGAGCAAGAGACGTTTTTCCAATTCCTCCTATTCCTATAATTGAAAGGATAGGAATAATTGGCCCTTCACTACTCTCGCTTAGCAAGAAGGCTACAATTTCTTTCTTAGCATCATCTCTTCCATATATTTTTGTTTCATAACAAAAAGAGGCAGCAGTCCTTGGTGATTCTAGCTCTCTAGTGTCTTTCTTAGAGCTAAAGTTGAACTTATTTTTCTCTGTAGCTAAATTATCTAGCCTTTGATTCAGAATTTTTATCTTAATAGCAATATCACGACGCAAGACAATTTTCTCAGTAGAAAAACAATGAGAAAGGATTTGGAAACACACCTTCTCAAACGTGGAAGCATTTTCAACTTCCATCTTCAACTTATGAATGGCAGTGCTCCACTCATCCAACACGTCATCAATCTCATAGGAAGTGTCGGTAAGCTTATCCAGCCAATGCTTCACATCCATTTCCTTCACTTGTCTGTCTTCTGCATCTTGAAGCACATGCCGGATGCCCTCAAAATTGGTTTTGAGCGTTTTCACTTCTGCATCAGCACCCACGTCCAGTCTCGCGGCTCTCGCCTTGAGCGTTTCGCCTTCGTCTTCAGAATGCACGACGGGTCTCGCCTTGTCATGATCAGTTGGATTCAGGACAAAATCCAATTGCTTCAGGATTGCGGAGACAATCACTTCAGCCATTGTCTAATATCGCAGTTGAGTAAGGGAAGATGAGTTGTTTTATGATAAATTTGGTATGGTTGTGTTGTGGCGATGGCGCCCCTTAAATACTTAAATATAGATATCCAGAGGGGTCAGGTGCCCCCTTAAAATGTAAAATTCATTTTTACCCCTAGTATTTTACTTTTTTAGGCCCCTCTAAAATTTTAAAATTTATTTTTTAACTTAATATTTTAGCCCATTACAAATATGCCCCTCCTGCTTTATTCTATTAATTTTTAAGTTTCTCTCATGTCTAACTCTAAAATATTAATTAGCCTAAATCTTTTATATGTGGTTTTATATTATGTGAATTTATCTTTATTTTATTTTATTATTTATTGCATTTTTTTGTATTATTCTTCAAATTTGATTTAAATTCTGTTACGTTTAATTTGACCAAAAAAAAAAAAAAAAATTTAACTTACTTCCACATCAGTAATGAATCACTTTTACGTTTAATTACATTATAAAATTTAGAACATAATATTTGTATAGTATTATATATAGCTTTGGAGAAAATTTCAAGGAATATTTCAATAGATGGATTAAAGAATTAAACATTTAGCTTTGATACTTGTGAATAAGAAGTTAATGCAGTTTTCTCCAAGCAATTTCCATATTCTTTTCTGCATGTACACTCTTGTTTTGGCCAAAATTAACTTTGATATATGCTAGTTGAAGAAAGAATGTAGTTTTCTCCAAGCAATTCCCATATTCTTATCCTTTATGCATGCTCTTTTTCTTTTGCCAAATTTTGCTTTGATGTTAGTTAAGGAATGTACTTCTCTATCTCCAACTCTCAAAGCAATTCCTATATTCTTGTTTTCCTTTATGCATTCACTACTTTTTCTTTTCAAAATTTGCTTTGATTCGTGAAGTGATGAAGGAGCCATTGCAATGCTTTACAAAGTTGTTTCGGTAATATAAATATTAAGAAGTCAAATTCTAGTGATTTTAGTGGTTTTTGTCCTTCTATTTATTATTATTATATATATATTTTAACCAAGAATGTTCGGACCAGCTTAAGTGCACATCAACTAATCATTTGGACCCTAAAACTATTGACTGAGTAAGAGCTCCAACAGTCACTCCTATTAGGAGCCGAAGTGAATCAAACTTATGACTTTTTAAACAATACACCCAAAAGTCCTAATTGATCAATCGACTATTTAGTGGTGGTTCTGTACCTCTATTTTTTGTTAAGGCAGAAATGGAATTGCAAATATGAAACATACATGCCAAACAGGCTCTTCTTCCAAGGTCGAAAAAGCAAAAGTGGATAGTGGAAATTATTCCCAATGTCCCCAAAAGGTTTGAACAGAATTTTGTTTTAGGGTTTTTCAAAGCATTCCTTTGCGGGCTTTGCCCAATAATTTAAGTACTTTGAATAGTAAAAGCAATTAATTTATAGGTGGTTCCAAGTTCCAACATTCTCCTTTAAGGAATGAATTTATAGTGGTTATAAACTCCTTTGTTAAAGATGCCATTTTTTCTTTGTTAAAGAGCCATTTTTTCTTTGTTAAAGATGATCTAATTAGTTATTCCTCTGGGAAGACATCCATAAAGTTCAGCAAATAATCCTTGTCAAATCATAATAACATAACAAAACCCATAAAAATACCAATTTTTTAGAACTAAATTAAACAAACCAATTAGAAGACTATTTCTATGGTAATAATATATTTTCCCTACATTAAAACCATAATTATCAAGTTTAGGGGAAAAAAATAAAAACTTCATAATTTTTTTTACATATAACGAGTTAAATTAAATTTGTATAAGACAGACCTTATTTACTTATAATCTGAGTATTCTATTTATCTTGTTTTTGAGTTTGATAATTACATTAATAATTTAGAAATTACATAAATTGATTAGGGTATAATTGCAAACTTATAAAACCTTGTGGATTTTTTAAACTTTCAGGGAGGGCGCTGGCCCACCCTGGGCCAGTGCTGGCTCCGCCACTGAATTATAGAAACGATAGAAGCTAAGAGATTTCACAAAATACGGCTGTACCAGAATGGAATGAATCAAATTGATATCTCAATCATTGAATTGGTATCATGTACCAGAATGGAATGTAAGACAATGCATGTTTACATTTTCTTGTTTTCACATATCAGGCGCAACATACCATAAATAATTGAGTAATATGTTTTTTGTATAGTATTATAGATAGCCTTGGAGAAAATTTCAATGAACCTTTATTAGATGCACTAAAGAATTAAACATTTAGCTTTGATACTAATCAAGGAATGCAGTTTTCTGCAAGCAAATCCCATGTTCTTTTCTTCACGCACCCTCTCTTGTTATTGCCGAATTTATATACCTTTGATATATGCTAGTTGAAGAATGTAGTTTCTCCAAGCAATTCCCATATTCTGTTCCTTTATGCATGCTCTTTTTCTTTTTCCAAATTTTGCTTTCATGTTAGTTAAGGAATTGAATGTACTTCCCTCCAATTCTCCAAGCAATTCCCATATTCTTATTTTCCTTTATCCATACATTACTTTTTCGTTTCAAAATTTTGCTTTGACGTTGGTGAAGCAATCGTAGTTTTTCTCCAAGCAGTGGAGTGTTGGTAATATAAATTAAAATAGGTTGAAACTTGATGGGTAATAAATGAGGTTAAAACATTGTTGAAAATAATAATATAATTAAATGTGATTTAAGTGTTTTTTGATCCCTTTATTATTATTTTTTTTATCACCAGGAGTGTTCGAGCTAATTTATATACACGTTACTCAATTAATCTTCTAAGACCTTGAAAGTCCGACTAGGTAATCCTCCGATGACCACTCTTATAAGGTATTCCTTATTTTTGGTTAACGTAGAAATGAAATTGCAAATATGAAATATACATGCCAAACAAGCTGTTCTTCCAAGATGGAAAAAGCAAAAGTGGACAGTGGAATGTTCCTTAAAGGTTTGAGCAGAACTTTGCTTTAGGGTTGCCCATAATTCATCCGGTGTTTTAAAATACTAGAATTTACCCACTCTGAATTTAATAAACATTTACATAATCGGTTAAGTAGGAGGATTTTTCTATTTAAAAGTAAGAGTACCCCTCATTTTGATATTGTTCTAGTTTAGCCCAAATTCTGCTTCCGAACCGTGTCTGTTAAATTCAAAGGATGTATATCCTAGTACTTTAAACTGCATACTGACCTTAAACTAGTAGACCTAAACTCGAGGAGTTAAATACATTTAACTCAGTATAAAAAGATAAAATTTTAATTGATATGTACACCCTTAAAATAGCTAGCAGCAGTTGTTTTTCTGTTTTGCAACAATTCAATCAGTACATGATACAACAACATAACATGAACTGAATACAACAATCAATACATGAAACATAGAAAATTAAGATGTTGAGAACAACACCATAACATGAATTGACATTTTATACCATGAATCTTTCCTTTTCATTGTATTGTTCACTTAAACCCAAATGAGCCATGAGAAGCCAAACATGAGTGACCAACTCTCCTCCTTTCCAAAGCTGTTGAGCATGATCTTTCCATCCACAGCTATTTGCAGCATATGTTAACATTTCAATCCACACTTCACTTATCATCCTCCATTTATCTTCACATTTCCAATGTTTTTCAGATTCCAACGAATTCAATTTTTTAGCTAGCTTGCATCCATCAGATAGCACCGATTGACTTATGGACCTTCTATACACCATTTCAAGCAACTTTCTGCTAATAACATCCATGGAGGCACTCTCTTTCTGATTGTCTTTTTCGAAAAATTGCTTCACATGGGCACATGTATCTCTATATCTTATCTCACCAATCCCTTTCGGCATCATAAATGGACATAAGACTAGAAGATACATCATGTAATTTGATAAGCATTTGCTAATTTTGCCCACTTGGTGACCTTCCTTTGCATCTCCAGGTTTCTCAGCACCTCCAGATTTCTGAGGATCTGCAGGTTTCTGAGCTTCTCTACTTCCCTCAGCATCTCCAGGTTTCTCAGCACCTCCAGATTTCTGAGGTTCTGCAGGTTTCTCAGGAAAGTCAACTTCGTAACAAACAGTAGTAGCAATATGCCAAATCAGAAGGCTGTGATCAAAATCTAAATCAACTGTGCTCCACTTGAATTCTTCAAGCTCATACTTTTCTTCAAGCACGTAATCACCTCTCTGAGCCAAAAATTCCTTGCAGGAATTTATAGTATAGCTGTCTTTCATTTTTTCAGCCTTTTCTTTTATCTGCCCGAAGATTGCTTCTCGCAAATCATCATCGATCTTTTCCCAATTCAAATGGTTGTACTCTTGAAAAAATTGTCTGATGTAAGGCAATTTCTGAAAATCAGCAAACAGGCCTTTTGCTTGCATCTCTTTAAGGCAAAAACTTATCAAGTTGTACTGTGCCATGGATTCCGACCACCTCTTTCGATAGATCAAAACTGACTCCTGTGCTGTGGATTCAGACGATCTCTTTGTATTGATCGGAAGTAACTCCTGTGCCTGTGATTCAGTCCACGCCTTTCGATGGATCAAACGTGATTCAATATAAAAGATAGCCTCAAGAATTCGCTTAGTGAGTGGTTTTTGGTTCTTGATCAGCCAGAGTTTTGTCCAATCAGAGAAAACAAGTTTAACAGACGAGTAAAGCTCAAGAAAAACAACCCCGGCCAGAAGAGTGTAAGTAATCGAGACGTCATTTAGATCAGGATAATCACGCAAATCAATCAAAATTCTGAAGAGAATGAATGCAGCAAGACAAGAAAGGAAACTGATGCAGCGGAGAAGAATCCCCAATCGAGAATAAACAAAGGAGGCCTTTGTGTACAGCACATCATACATAAAACCGAGCTCAATTGCCACCAACGTGAAGGCATCTCTAGCTGACTTGCTGTGAATGATGTTGTAGCAATCCGCCCGTTCACTGAGGCCGAGAAGTAAGTTTGAGAAGAGATACTCCAATCTCTTGAACAAAAAATGAGCGTCAAGATAATGCTGAAGTTCTTTTCTTTCTGAATGTCCGGCTCGGAACTTCCGGATATTCTCGATCTGTATTTTTCTCTCGAAACCTTCGGTTTCCATTCTCATCAAAGCATTTTCTGCAATTGGATTAGCAGAAAGCAAGGCCTCCTTAAACTGCTGGGAGCTTGCAGACCTGAGCGCATAAGTCCTTTCTCCATACTTGACAATTCCAGTAACGAATACCGGAATGGATAAAAATGTAAGGGCTGTAAAGCTCCAAGACCGGAAGGAGACGTAAACTGCAACTCCAACTTGAACAACAAGACTGAGAAAGTGCCTTGACCACAACTCATTGTCTTCTAAAGAGTAAGCCGTGATACTATCTGGACCACCGAGGTTTATGAGCAGAAACGGCGCCCAAAATGCTTGGAGTATGTTATTTGCTTTAGTGACATTATTGTTATTGTCTTCTTGGATGCTTGCCAGGTTGCCCAGGGCAACAGTTGCCACCCAATCTGCTGACAAGTATGCTGACCAAACAGCAAACTTGATCAGAATCCTTGGATCGCGTTTTCGCCGTGTGCCAAATACTACGAGGATGATTTGTACCATAAGGCTAAGTTGAATCAGTACTCGAACTTCCCATCCATTCCAAATTTTGCTAATTCTATCAGAAAATAGACGTGTGATCTTCATATCTTACTCTATGCTGAAACTGCAAGCATGAAAATATTATGAAAAACACGAAACAAAACAAAACCCGAAAATCTGATGTTAGTGTTTAATAACAATATAAAACTCATAATTATGTAACACCCTATAGCAGCATATATAGAAATCAGAGCAGAATATATAGAAATCAAGACACTGGTACCTGGTAAGAAAAAAGGAAAAATTAAAGAAGTTAAAGAAAAACAATAGCTGCAATTAAGGCTTAATCTGCGGTTGCTACATAACTAATGAAATAATCACCGACTCCATAATCTTGTATTTCCCAAAAATGTTTGATAAGCCTCTTCTAACTCTGACATTAACTACAAGCTCAATATTTTGATCTACCTACAAAACAAGAAATTATTACAACATAGCAAAGCTACCAAGTATTACTAAGCTACATTTTACCTTTTTTTTTAATTTGTATTATTAATTCTTAACCATATTGGTTCAATGCCATATTCAATAATGAATTTAAAAGAGATATCAGAGGTGATTATTTTTTATGTCAATTCAGTAGTTTCTAAATCATTGGATTATCAACTCTGTACGTGATATATAGTGCAAAAGAGCAAGTCTTTTTGCATTATTTTCGTAAATAAAACAACCAACTAACCTGGAAATGATTGAAGATACCACAGGTATGTTGAGCTATCCCTGAAGTTGCTTCAGCTAACAACTGAGGCAATTCAATTCTTAAGGCCATTTATAATAATAGAAAAGCAAAAGAAGAAGGAAAAAAAGGCTAACAAACAAGTATTAGAAATAGTACATGCATGGAGCATGGATTATTCTCATTAAAGAATAACTTGTGCTCTGGGGTTGGAACAAAAAATGAAGTGTGGACTTGAGTTTCGAATTAATTTCTACTTCATGTCGTCCAATAATTTTGCCTAGAAGTATCATCATTTTTGGAGTATTTACTGATTTAGTTTTCAAAATACAGTTTTCAGAAAATGCTAGTGGACTATTTGTTGAATATGATCCATACTTTGTATCGGCTTGACATATTATCGACCTAATTAGTAATTGAGTTTATAATTGATTTGTAAAAATTTGGGCCTAGAACGGGTTAACCCAAATAGGATTATGGCTACTATTATATAATATTGTAATAGTAGAAAAAATGTAGTGTGAGAAAAGAAGGGAGAGAAGTGTGAACTGTCGTCATATATATTATATTACTATAGCTTTTTAAAACTTTTATAAAAATTTGGGCCGAGAACGGGTTAGCCCAAATAAGATTAGGGTTACTATTATATAATATTGTCATAGAGGGAAATCTGTAGTGTGAGTAAAGAAGAGAGAGAAAAGTGAATTACCGTTATATATATAGTTCCTTAGTCAGAAATGAACTAAGGTAAATCATGTGTTCTCTTTACTTATATGCTTTAATTGTTCTGTGTTTTTTTGACCCTTTTTCAACAATATTCTTGTTTTGTTGTTTTAAGAGTGTCCATCTTTAACTTTTCCGGATTACAGTTTTATCTTTTTGGGATTCCAGGGTACAAAGAAGTGTTAATTAAAACTTGGAGGAGCTGCTTTAGCTTATGCAGGAATTGAATATTAAACTTCTTACTTTAAAGCTGGATTCTGGTGTTTGAGCAGTGAAAGAACTTGTACTTATGATAAACAAGAAAACAAGAAAGGAATTTCCTTTATCCTTTTTTCTCACTTGTTTTCCCTCGCTTCTCACACAAGTTGATCTCTTTTCACTGCATTTTTCTTTTTCTTTTATTTTTTTTCTCCCTTTCATATTTTATTCCTGTCCATTGGCTTTCCAAAGAGTATGTTATCTTGAACAGTACCTCCTGGATCCAAGGTGTTTGAGAAACTTAGATAATAGTTCAACTACATTTCCCTGTATGCGACATTAGAGTCTCATTTTAAGAATGAATAATTTGGATTTTTTTATTACTTAATGGTCCTGAAATTTTGGATTCTTCTTCAAGGATAATTGATTTCTAAGCACCAACCTTGCCACAAACTACAATTTGTAGTCCCATTTTGACTTTCAAGTTGATATCTCTCAGAACTGGAACAGCTGATTCTGGTTCCCAACTGAATTTCCCTTTGTATTTCAACACATGTGAATTAAGCTCCAAATGCTTTCATGTTTTGTCAGATTCTTCATTACTAAGCTCATTTAACTTGAATAAGCATAGGCATGCTTCTTAATGTTGTTGGGACGGTGAACATAGTCGCGGCATTCCGGGGAGCTCATCTGATTAGCAAACTTCCTAAGAAATCCACAGTGGAGATGATTACTGGACATATCAGATGCATAACACATTTTCTTGGCTTTATTTTATATTGCTTTTTATAGGATTTTGATCCCCTTGTTTATGGTAAAAAATCTCTGGCCCATATCTTCGTTTTTTTCCCCTTCAATAAAAAGCAAAAAGACTAAAGCTGCAAGAGCCCAGTAACACCTAGAAAACTTCAGAGTAGTAATTCAACCTTAAATCTGTGCAAACAATTGTCGCATATCTAAGCTTTTAGTAATTTATTTTGCATCAATACAACAAATACACAAGCTTATTTTCAAACGTCAACTGAAGTAACAAAAGCAGGCAACTAGTATCATTACTTTATTCAATCCTAAACCTGATCTTTGATAATCTTAAACATGATCCACTGTCTTATAGATACGGGTTTTTGGAGCTCATTAAGATGATGATTGAGTGCATCCTTAAAACCCATTTCAACTGCATTTCTTTTCCATGAATCAAAATCCAATAAGCACTGCAATATGGTTTCACCCTTGGCCCAAGGGCTGACCTCCTGTAAAATACAGCCCAACCTTCATCACTTGGACCAAAGCTAAGCATAGTATCAATTTCCTGCATTATAGGATCATTTTCAATTTTGCAACTCAGTTGCGACTTAGAGCTCCACATGCTCTCTAACCGCTCCCAGAAGAACCAAACCATAATGAGGTCTTCCCATGCGTGACTAAGCTTCTCCAAAACAATAATGGCGATTTTTCTGCCAGTTTGCTCTTCATCAGGGTTGCTGTGCCCAATGTAAGTGAGCTCCAATGGAAACTTTGCTGCTTGTGCGACTGCCCGTGCAGCGGTTGAGAATTTCCTAATCCAATCTATGTTTTTTCCTCCATAAAAGCATATGTATTTTCGTTCTCTTACCTGAAATTGCAAAAAATGTACAATCATGGTCTATCATGCACTTTTTTATTCTGTCTAACAAGTTATTCATATGCTTTAATCAGAATTTTGATAAGTACGCATACCCAATTAAGAATGACTGGATCTATACCGTCTATAAACAACTCAATTCACAGGGGAATTTCTGCCGTAGGTGAGTGAAAGGGAATGCATTGCTTCCCCAAACCCAGGCCAAGGGGAAACCATTTTGCAATGCTTAAGAGATTTTGATTTATGGAGAACACATTTGGAGGATAAGGATTTTTGTGACTACACTCAATCATCATCTCAACCAGCTCCAAAGACAGACAATTCATATTTAATATTATCAAAGCTCGGATTTAGGATTGAATAAAGTCTTGAAGCTTTTGTTACTTTGGTTGAGATGTGAAATTATGCTTCTGTATGTTGTAATATGCAATATAAGTTATTAATGCATGTGCTAATACTTTTTCTGAGTAACAAAGTATTTTCTTTGCGACTCTCTGTCCCTTCATTTTCAGATCAGTAGAACAAAGGTCATGTGATTGTTGTACATGATGCCATGTTTCTCGAACATCTTGGATCCAAAGTGATTCTATTCCGGATAACATATTCTTCCGAAAGCCAGTGGAAAGGACTAAGTATGAGATGGTTATAAAAGCATGTGTTTTGGACAAATAGGACTGAATTTAAGTGGTGGACAAAACAGAGGATTCACATTCAGCTTGCCAATACCACCATAGAGAGAGTCGTTTGATCCTTGAGTAAAGCAACTAAAACTTGAATAATGTTATTGGTGGATCAGTTCATGATTACTTTCAACAAAGAAAAAACTGTCATCCCAGTGACTCACCAAGTTGAGTTTCTCACAGAAGCTGATAAATTCTGGTATAAGCCTACTAGTCTTTCCTCGTGCAACTGGATGTTTGGTTATAAATATGAATGTTGAAACCATTTTACAGCGTTTGACTTTAAGCAACTTGTTGCATTCCGAAACTTCCATTGTGCTTGATTGAAGTTGTATGAATGTGAAAATATGGGCTTAGGGGTCCAATATATCTGGGGCTTTGAAGGCTCTCTATGGAGGCCTTACTTAAGTTTTATAGCTCAGTGTTAAGGAAAGAACTTCAAGGTACATTATAAAGTTAGACATACCCAAATCTAATCCATCAAATTAAGATACAAATCAAGCTAGTTGCTCTTGTTGTTGATCTACCTTCTCCATTTGCATGCTAGTTTTTTTTCTAAGTAGTAAGTATTTTCTTTGCGGCTCTCTGTCCCTTCATTTTCGAAGGATACTTGTTCAGATACATAGAACAAAAATCATTTGATTTTTGTATATGATGCCGTACTCTTTGGAAAGCCAACAAAAAGGACTAAATATGAAATGATTATAAAAGCATTTGTTTTGGGTAAGGATAATAAAAAGTTTCAACCATGGTGTCCTTACAAAGATTGGACAAAGTGGTGAACAGAAACAGGGGATTCAGCTTGCCAGGGCACTGGGCAGAGGATGCACATACTGCTTCAATACTTTTCAATGTAAGGTAAATAGTTTCATAAAAAGCACAATACCAACATAAAGAAATTCGTTTGATCCCTATTGTAGAAATTAAAACTTTAATAATGTTATTGCAGGACTGTTTCATGATCATTTTCAAAGATAAAAACTGTCATTCTAGTGATTTATCAAGTTGAGTTTCTCACAGAAGCTGATAAAAATCTGGTAGAAGAATATGGGTCTTTGCTCAAGTTGAGTTCTCGATTATCTCCATGTATCAAAGGGATCATATATTTGCAGCTTGAATGTACTATTTTACATTGAGTGATGCTATGGGTACTAATGGATGAGTACTAATATGTGTACTAACTAAAGCATAGTACATATTAGTACTCATCCATTAGTACCCAAAGTATTATTGTTTTACATTTGCTCTTATAGCTCTTCAGGCTTTGCAATTTACCAGCTGGCCATAGGCCATAGCTATTGGATGTCCACTCCCAATCTTTTGCAAAGCCGAGCCCAAGGATCCACTGGCCCAAATATGCAATGGCTTTTTATTTGTTGGGACTCAAATCTTTTCTATGGAAAACTTCCAATGCCCTCTCAATTGCCTCTAATGTATCAATTCATCTACTTCCAAACGATGCTGTGTCACTATATGTAGCCTTACTAGAAAATGTATATTCACATGAAAAAATTATTTGATGCCAAGAATTTATCAGATTATGGATGCATGTTTAACTAACCCCAAGAAAAAGGTAAATTGGGTTAAAAGATGTTCTTTGCGCAACTATTTCCCTTTTTTTTTTTTTTTTTTTTTTTGAAATTAACTCAAATTTATGTCAAAATGAGTGTGAAAAATGCTAGATAAATTATAATAAAATAAGTGAGTAAGAGAATATAAGAGTAAACACGATATTTTATCTGTGGTTCATTTACAAACTTGACTTATGTCCACACCTCTAAACATTATTATCTTTAAGGATACTATGAAACTTTCAACCCTCTAAATTAATAGTTTTGTGACAGATGTATTTATGATTATTGAATGCAAATTAATGTCTTAAATTGTTGAGTTTACAAAGAAGTGTTAATTGAAGCTTCGAGATGATGCTTAAGTACTTATGAAGGAAGCGCTCTTTAAATGACTTTTTATAAAGCTGGATACTGGTGCTTGAGAAGTGAAACAATTTATATTGGGACCAGTGGTAAAGCAATGAATTGATGCAAAGAAAAAAGAAATGGATTCGGAATGAAGATATGCCAAATCCTATCAACATACATACACATACTAGCCCTTCATGGCATCAGCCAGTGTTTTAAGGAAACAATTCTACTAGAAATTTGCCATATTCTGATGAAAAAATTGTGTCAAAAAAATCATCAAATTGCGTCTTCAAGGTGACGTGGATTATAATTTATAAACTTAAACATACCCAGATCTAATCCCATAAAATTAATTAAGATACAAATCAAGCTAGCTAGTTGCTCTACTAATTATAAGGGTCACCATTTTATTGACTTAGTTTCTCCATTTGCACGCTAGCTTTTTTTCCATCCTGTTCGTTTGCTTGTCTTGGACGAGGCATATCGATTTTCAAAAATGCCTCATCTGGCTCAAAAGAAAATGCCATTTTCAACAATTTTTTTTTTTTTTCCTAAGGTAAATTTAGTACTAAAGATACAATCTGATGCAAAATTTGTTTAATGTTAGTTACGATAATGATCTATAGCTAATTCATTTTAGAAAATCCTAATTAATGACAAAAGATAGAGGGTCAAATGCTTTACAAAGCTTGATCATTATTCTCTCTTTGTATAGTCATAATATGCAGCCTTGTTTGAAGGACATTCACAATAAGATAATTGTGTTATTTCAGAAAGCCTTGTGATGTTATGGATGTTAATTAACTAATCATTGGGCATTTTGAATTGCTTATTTAACCATCTTTTGTTATTAAGTCAAGTTTACCCTGAAATGAGGGTGGATGTATAGAAAAGAAATTATAATGACTAAAAAAGTTAGAGAAAAAAAGTGTAGACACCATATTTTTATCGTGGTTCAGCCATAAACCTGGCCTACATCCACGCCTCAAAGCTTTAAAGCTTTGAGGATTCTACTATGGACCTTCGACCCCCTAAAGGGTCTTTGAATACAACTTACATGAAGCTACACACTCCTAAACCTTTCAACTCTCTCAAAGCAAATAATATTTACCTTTTACACACATTAAAAAAAGAAAAAGAAAAAGAAAAAGAAAAAGAAAAAGAAAAAGAAAAAGAAAAAGGAAAAAAAAAAAGGGAGAAACGAAAAAGCATATTTCTGTCCCACAAAGATTGGGAAATCAGGGCTCAAAGAATGATAACAAGTTTAATGCACTAAGTTTTGAAAACATTTTGAAAATCATTAACGAAGCATTAATCTTATTATCATCTTTTTTAGCCCGAGATTCAGCCAATTTTTACAACTAAGATCAATAAGAAATTTCCTAGGCTAATCTTTACATCCATGCATTTTGCTTTCTTCCAATGCAGCTGAATATCTTCAAGGTCCCTGTTTTTGTTATTGAAATGCAAGTCTAATGAAGAAAGAAAGAAAAAAACAAAAAACATATTCTTGCTCATTCAAACAATCAAACTTTAGTTATTAGCAAATTCCAAGATTGACGTCGGTAAAGTTTAATTATAGATATAGTAGAAGCTCACCGGGCGAATGTCAACTCAAGGAATGACCACTACAAATAATTTTGATTGAATGCATTTCCTTTGTTCTGTGACAGATTTCAAAATTCTTTCTGTTAGTTGGCATAAGACTAGTAAATAAATTGTACATAATTTGAACATTGACAATGCGATGATGCATTTTTAGAACTGAGAAATCAAGAACTGGAAAAGAAATTAGATAGCACTAACAGGGCAGATTGAAGCAACCAAATTGATCTTGAGGGCATGAGATCCATTTGAATTCTATCTAAAGGAGCTGAGCTATGAAAAGATTCTGCGCAGAGCAACTTTAGGGGTCAAATTATTGCTAATTGTATGGTAAAGAACTTGAAAGAGTATATAACAGTTGTAGGGCATATATCAGTAACCAAATTGATTTATTGAATTAGCATCAATCAATAAATCGTTGCAGATTGATGGGGTTTCTCACACCTTAATGATTGTTGCCTAATAGTAAAAAGCACCTTCAAATGATATGTTGTCTGCCTGCTGGATGCTGCAAAAGAAAACACATTGTTTCACTAGAGATGATTTTAAAGGGAGAATAAACACATTACTCATATAGCAAAATAATATTACATTATTATAACTCAAAAACGAAACTCAAAACTAATTATTTATCTTTCCTGTGGAACATAACATACAAAGCAAAACGAGTATTTCTTATAAAAGATGAATAGTGATACGGCGCTTAAATGACATATCAATTAATGAGTTGACTTATTATACTCTACCATTTATATCTTACTGCATCATTTTGTATATATATTTTTGTATGTGCACTTTATAAGTATAGTATTGCTCAAGTAGAAGCAAAAATACATAAACAAGCTGAAATCATTAACTACAAAATTATTGGTATAACTACCATAATAATTGTACTGAAAGATAGTGGAAATATTATTACTGATTGTAAATTAAGCTGGAGGAGATCAAGAAATTACCTCTGACTCTCTGAGTCGGTGGCGGTATTCTTTATTAGATTTCCGTGCACGTATTCAGAAGAATCAATTTGAATGTAAGAGATGTGGGAGATCCTCGACCATTTCGTTCCTGTCTCCTTTACGTAATTTTCTCTTAGAATCCTGCAATCACTAATGAGTAGTTTCTGCAGCGCTGGCCTTTGAAGAAGGTCGTTAGGCAATTTCACCAATTCGGGGCATTTATGAAATCTCAAAGAAAGAAGATTTGGCATAAATCTTCCGTCCAATTTAACATCCCACTCTTCCCATTCTTTGATATCCTCAAACTCCAGATTTATCAACACTGGAAAGGTATACACCGTGGACGAAGAAGCAGATGATATTGTTTCCCAAAATTCATTATTTGCTATTTTCATACCGTTCATTCTTTTTATAATGAGTGACTCTAGGGATGGTAATTCTCCCAAAAGAGATAATGATTTCAATTTTGGGCATGAATCAAGTTCCAAGTAACGAAGACACGGCAAGATTTTAACACTCGTATTAGTACTCCGACCCCACGCCAACTCCTCCCATTCTATCATGTTCCAGAACTTGAGATACCTCAATTTCGGAAACGCAATTGAGGTACCTGATGAAGATGAGCTAGCACCATCAGTATTTATTCCCAAAAATCCATTATCCACCTTTTTCAGACTCCTCATATTGCAGATAATTAGTGATTCAAGTGACGATAATTTTCCTAAACCGGGAAATTCCATTAATTCAAAGCAAGACATTAGCTTTAACATCCTCAACTTGGCTAAATTCTCAATCCAATCCAGGGCCATAGTTTCGCCTGTGTAGCGTTGTATAACTAATTCCTCTAAATTTGGAGGTGGATTAAAACTTTTAAAAACCTTTTCATCGTCAACAATGGTCCACCCATCGAATCTTAGACTTAAACCACAAATATTTTCTTTTTCTTCAAGTTTTCCTTCATTTATCTTTTCTACCTCACTCACATTTCCCAATCCTGTTATACTAACAAGCCCTTTAAGCTGCTTCAGATATTTCAAACACTCCAAGCTACCTTTTTTCTCTTTACTGTTATCATTCCCCACAACGAATTTCATTAATGTTTGAAGACAAGTTAATTCCTTAATTCCTATTGGCATGCAACTTAGACAAGTTCTGTGGTTTAGTAAGTGCCTAAGGGTTCTTAAATTCCCAATCCTGTGTGGTAGCTTTTCCAGACGGTAACAATTACTGAGATCTAAAGTTTGCAGATAATCTAACTCACACAATGTGTCAGGTAATTCTTTAATTTTCTCATTATCAGATAAATTTATGTATCTCAAATATATCAACTTTTTTATATTACTTGGAATTTCTTCAATTGAGCAACAACTCAGATCTAATGTCCTTAAACATGTCAGTTGGTCAAATAATGAGGATAACTCTCCTAGAATCTTTGTGTTGTTTACAACAAGGCTACGCAACTTTTTCTTATTAGGATTAGAAGAGTCGGGAATTGAGACATCTATCCTCATTTCATGTAGAGCTTCTAAATCTTCAGGTTCCGGACGACAACCACCTATTATAGTTAAACATTCTTTCTCCGTAAGAAATTTAGCAAAATCATGCACTTTATCGGGCATTTTGCATCTTATTATGCTTCCATCATATACACTTCTTTCAAAATCTTGAAAGAAATGACGCATTGCTAAAATTGAAAAATACTCTTCGCCCACTAACTCTATGTCATTCCTTTCTGGTACCTTAAGATAACCTTGAGCCATCCATAACTTAATTAGATTATCTTTATTTATCACACAACGTTTTGGAAAGATGGCACAATATAAAAAACATTTCTTTAATTTGGAAGGCAATTCATAATAACTCAATAGTAAAGCTCTGGGAAATGATGTTTTCACTTTTTCTAATTCTAATAGGTCACTGTGAACACTTTGCCACTCTTCACTAGTTTTTGAGTTCAATAGACTTCCTAAAATCTTTACAACAGAAGGCGAGCCATTGCATGTGCTTACTATCTTTTTATACAGATGACGTGTACTTTTACGCTCTTCATGGGTTAGTGTAGAAAACACAAATTTGCTAAATAATGACCAACAATCCACATTCAATATTTTATCTTCACTAGTCTTACTAGAAAACCCAAATGTTCTAAATAATGACAATGAAGATTGCCAATCACTCCCTAGTACGACCATGTTGGTGGTTTCTATCATTTTTGCAGTTATAATTGTAGACGTTGTCACCAAGATCCTGCTTTCTTGAGAATCACCCAAATTCTTCTTAAATTGTTTCCAAATTATGGGAATGTTTATCCACACATCATCTAAAACAAGAAGAAATTTTTTTCCCTCCAGACATTGATGTATCTTTCCTAACAAAGTTTCTAATTTATCTAGATTTGGTGCAACCTCCTGTCCTAGAGATTTAAGAATTGCTTTAGCAATCAGAATCTCATCAAAATATTTATGGAGATACACCGTTATTATAGTTTTGAAATTTTCTTTCACCCTATTATCTTCAACAACTAATTTAGAAAGAGTTGTTTTTTCAGTTCCTATCATCTCTACTATGGAAATGATAGGAAAAGTTGTTGTTTGTCTACTCTTAATCAACAATTCTATTATTGTATTCTTATCGTAATCTTTTCGAGCAACCTTTGGTAAATAAATAACAGGGCTACTTGGTTGTTTTTCTACTCCTATGCCCGTTGTCAAGCTAAAACCGAAATCATCTTTTTTCTTAACAATTTTATCAAGAGTTTCAATCATTGCTTTTATCCTAGTAGCAATATTGTTTCGATGCAGAAAATCTTGCCAACCAAAGATATGAGAAGAGATGAGACAATTACGTACCCTTTTCCAAAGGTTGGGAGCGTTTACAATTTGTGATTTTCTTGTCGTGTTCCACTCGTCCAACACATCGTCTATGTCATAGGAGGCGCATTCAAGGTTACGTAACCAATCCCTGACTCTGCTGTCCTCCACTTGTTTTTTCTCCACATCTTCAAACCTCTGTTGAATGGCCGAAAGATTTGTACGCAGCTTTTCTACTTCTTTCATGTCCACCATGGATTTCATTTGTTCAGAGTCCAATTGCTCCAAGATTTTAGTGACAAGCGCTTCAGCCATAGTGAAAGTTAGTTAATGATGAAAGGAAGATGACGATTTGAAATATTTTGTGTGTGCTTAATTGTTTTTTTTCTTTTCTTTTTTATACACAACCCATAGAATCTGTCACCCTGAAGGCTCAAAACAAAATTTTACTTTGGTGTTACTCAAGGTACATAGTTTTCTCCAAGCAATTCCCATATTCTTTTCTGCTGACGTATTCAATTGCTTTGATGCTAGTTAAAGTAAGTAGTTCTCCAAGCAATTCCCAGATTCTTTTCTTTGGGCATATTAATAAACATTTTTCTTTGACCAATATTTCAAGTCATCATCTTCCTTTCATCATTAACTATCTTCCAATATGGGGGAAGCGCTTGTCTCTAAAATCTTTTCAAACGCAACCCATAGAATCTTTCACCTTGAAGACTCAAAATTTTTTTTTACTTTGGTGTTACTCAAGGTACATGGGCTTCGTTTGGTTCAAAATTTGGGGGTTTTGAGAAAAGTTTTTTGAAAAAAGTTAAAAAAAATTGAATTGGGCGGGTATTACGATATAAGATTTATAAATTAATAAAATGTCTCCTATGTTTATTTTTTTACAAAATACCCCCTATAATAAAACATTAAAAGTTAACAAAAACACTCCCAATCCACCCTCAAATATCCCCAGCCGGGCACTGCCACCGGAGGTGGCCGGAGTCACCTTATCGGCGTATGACCGGCTGGATCTTGCCGGTCATGCGCCGATATGGCCTTTTCCGACCAGATCCACAGTGGAACTGGCCGGCAAAGGCCAAATCTACGGCCAGATCTGGTCGTCAACGGCCAGATCTGGTCGTCAACGGCCAGATCTGGCCGTATTTGCTCTCAACGACGACCGTTTGATTGATTTGATCGAAAAATGCCAGATCTACGGCCAGATCTGGCCGTATTTGCTCTCAACGACGGCCAACAAACGGTCGTCATTGATGGTCAACGACGACCGTTTGTTGGCCGTCGTGACCGACTGTTACGACCAAAGATCTAGTCGTCAACGGCCAGATCTTTGGCCTTAGATCTGGCCTTTTCCGGCTAAATCCATCGTGGATCTGGCCAGAAAAGGCTAGATCGACGCACTACCGGCCAGATTCAGCCAGTAGTGCGCCATCCTACCAGATCCCGGCCATTTTCCGATGGTGGTGACTGGAATCTGGTAAATGTGGATTGTTGGGGTGTTTTTGTAATTTTTAAAAAAATGTTTAGTGGTATTTAATTAAATTAACAAATTTAGAGGGTTTAAAAAAAGTTGAACAATATTGAAAGTAGTATTCTCAAAAATGAGAGTTTTTGAGGATTTTACTGTTTAACTTTTTTGGGAATACTAAAAGTAGTATTCCCAATTTTGAACCAAACGAAGCCATGGTTTTCTCCAAGCAATTCCCATATTCTTTTATGTTGTCATATTCAATTGCTTTGATGCTAATTAAGTATGTAGTTCTCCAAGCAATTCCCATATCCTTTTCTTTGGGCATACTAATAAGCATTTTTCTTTGACTCTGGTTAAGGTGGTTGTTTTCTCCAAGTCTATGTCCATTTATTTTTCTTTCAACAAAATATGTATTTATTTTTCCGTCCATATATTTTTTTCAGGGATGCTTTAAACCCAGAGGTTTGCCTAAAACTGAAACCCCTGTGATATGGTCATTGACTCAAAGCCCCTTGCAATTAATACACATTCTAGTTAGTTTTAACAGCATAGAGGATAAAAACATAAAAGATTATAATTGTTTATATAATAATTAATGAAAATTCAATATATAACTTAATTATGAAGTGATTAAAACCTCATTAGAGATTCAAGCTAAATAAAAATTGTTTGGTCAATTAGAAAACGAGAGAAAATGGGAGAAAGAAAGAGAAAATCTGTCTCCTCAGTTACATTTGGGGTTAGTTATAGACAAATTTTGGGCTTACTTGACAGTTTTATTACCCTTCGCAGTTCGCAGTTCGCACTTGACAGCTGGATCCAACTATAGGTGCATGCTTGCTTATTATCTTCAGAAGGCCGAACGACTTGCGTATGCTCAAGGTTTTTCGAAACGACGAATTGATACTTAAAAAGTTTAGAAATGATAAACAGGTACCTTCCGTCATGTATTGTTAGTGATTTCTATTTGTTAATAGTAAAAAGACTAAAATGCCCTTGGAAGTTTGATATTTGAGTTTTTTTATAAATTTAAAATTTTCTAAAAAACCCCCTAAGTTTGCTAATTTAACTAAATACCCCCATACATAAAAAGTTTGTTAAATGACAAAAATACTCCCACCACCCGCAGTGCCAGATTCTGGCATCATCGCCAAAATCTGGTCGAAAAATTACATTTGATCTGGCCTTTTCCGGCCAGAACCGTGGTTGATCTTGCTGGAAAAGGCCAGATCTGGCCATCGAGGCCACAAAACTCCATTTGCAACTTCGACGGCCAAATCTGGCTGTAGATCTGGCCTTTTCCGGCCAGATCAACCACGGATCTGGCTGGAAAAGGCCAGATCGACGGGTTACGACATAGATCTGACGGGTCTATGTCATAACGCAATTTCCCGACTAGATTTCGACGATGGTGCTGGAATTTGGCATTGCGGGTGATGGAGGTGTTTTTGTCATTTAACAAACTTTTTATATATGGAGATGTATAGTTAAATTAGCAAACTTGGGGGATTTTTTAGAAATTTTTTAATTTATAAAAATTTAAAATACCAAACTTTCAAAGGTATTTTAGTCTTTTCATTATTAGCAAACAGAAATCACTAACAGCACATGATATAATATACTTATGTATTATTTTCAAATATTTTAGGTATCTGCGGTAAACTTTGGGTATGCGCAACTCGTTTAGCCTTTTCAGAATTTATTCTGCTGCACTTACAGCTGTCTCCAGTTGCCACTTCTATACTGTGTCATTTTCGTCATCATATGCTCTTTTCTTCTATAACGTCTCTTATCTGTCACGCTTTATTATTCTTCTTTTGTCCTTTTCCTCCCTTTGCACTTACTGCTGGTGAAGAAAATCTTTCTTCAATTGTTGTTCCTACAATAAATAAATATTATTCACAAAACTTATTCCAAATGCCATATCCCAAGTTATGGCTATGTTTGTCTGGTTGCAGTTCTGAAATTGTTTTCTTCAAATTTATGTTGTTTTGTGTACTTTTGTGGGTGTTTTGGTTTTCTCTTGCGCAACTATTTTGTGTGCTACTGTTATGGGTTAAATTTATGCAGTGGTTGTTTTGCTGTGTGGTGTTTGTTCTGTTCTGCGATGAGCTAGTCTTTTGTGGGTATGCGCAGAGCAAGGACTTGGGCCAAGGTTGGTATTCGATGGTTGTTAGTAGTGAGCAAGGAGGGACCCAGCCCCTTTGAGGGTAAGCTCAAGCCTATCTTCACAATTTTTTTTTTTTAAAAAAAAAATTGTTTATACAAGCCCACAAAAACATGCCATCTATATATCCTAGTGAAGCAAAGGTTATTTGAACACCTAGGATTCTAAAATTGATGATGCAAGTGGCAGCATGTGATTGGTTGGTGAATATATGACAGCATGTGATTGGTTGGTGGATGAAATCTCTTCACGTTTTCACTGACACAAAGTACAAACCGTAAACCTAATGGATAGTGCATGATGAATTAGATGCTATATTCTAATGAGAAGTCCTACTTTCATGATTATAAAGTTATATGATATGAATTGCTCTACGTTATTTTCTATTTATAGTTGTAATTGGCAGTTGACTGAGACAAAACTAATAGGTATCTACTAAGTTGATAAGTGCAGTGATTTTATTGAGAGTTTCTCAGCAAAAATTACATTTTTAAGATGTTCTACATTTGTGGTTTCAGGCAGGTCCATTTGAATTGGTTAAGGGATTTCAATAAGAATGAAATAGTATATATTTGATTCAATTTTGAAGAGATATTTTACCTATTCAATTAGCAGTTCCAACTGTGTTATTGAGCATATTCTACTCTCATTTATATTGTCAAAGGGTTTAAATCTATTCTACATTTGCCTAAATGACTTAAACTAGAGAAAATAAAATATATGTTCCGAGTTTAAATGTTTCGTGTTATTTGCATAAGCTTTAGTTATGGGCTTAATTGGAGTATGGCATGTACAGGGTCTTAAAAAAGCTGATCAGCAGACTATACTCGATGACTTCAACAAACATGGTCCAGCAACTACGCAACCTTCTATTACACCATCAGTTGTTCCGGCTGTACCTGCGGCTCCTGCAGCTCCAGTGATTACAAATAATGCTTCACTTGGTTTTATTGCTTCGTGAGAATACGCGCTAACCAGAGCAGCTGCACTTGGACAAGAAGCAGCCACATCGGGATTCAAGAGGTTCCTTGCTCTAACCGAAGCCGCCAAAGACAGGAAGGATGGACCATTCAGGAAGCTCTTTAACACATGATATTCTCAAACCATGTCTGTCAATTTTCATGCAACAGTTGATCTTCTCAGTGTTGTAAGTTCACATTCTTAATTCATATTTACCAAAACAATGTTATGATAAAATACTGAGAAAGCAAAATTGTGAATAAAATTATAGGGGTTCAATTCATACTTGGGCAGCAACAATTGCCTGATTCATGAAACAGACTAATCAGTTGCTTGCTACTACCAATGCTATTAACTCTGTCATGAAGGTTCGTTTTTTCTTTTTAACTTTTTTTATGGTATATATTGTTGGTTGTGGTTTTATGTATCCTTTGTTGTTGTTGTTATCTGCTTTTCGTGTTATCTTCATTGGGATCCAATGCAAAATTGTTGTAAATTATATGAAATTCTTCTGATTTTAATATTTCTTATAGGTGATGTGGTTCATGTTCATATCAATGCGATAAAACCCTTGCCTTTATGTGTGCATCATAGATTTGTGGTGAGAAAATTTATAATTGAGATCTACTCTGTGATAGATCCTCATTTGTGATTATATTGAGGGTTTGTGGACCTTGATTTTATATTTACCTACTTCTACTTTCCTTA